CATGCATTTTTCTCCCTTCATTTTGTCCCTGCCATTCTCTTGTGCCATTTTTCCCTTTATACCATTTTCTGCCCTGTATCATTTTGCTCTGAGGAAGCCTTTAATATTATAGTTGTTAAACAGAAGCTGGGCACAATAAAGTGTTATTTTATTCTATTGTGTGACTGTGTGGTATGGTACATCGGGCGTAGCAGCTGGATGCATCCACGTTAGCAGCAATAAAAGCGGAGGCGTTAGTCTGCAAGTCGAATTGAAATAATGCTGAAATATATTGCAATTCCTTTGCATTCACTTCAGCAGGCCTCTCCCCAGATTTTTTCTTTTTTTTTCTGCATTGGCAGAAGTGTCATTTTGTGACTCCATTTCTAAGTAAACTGTATTCTATTTAACTTGCTTTCAGTTTCTCTTCTGGGTCAGCCAGCTGAAAGGAAATGGCTGTTGAGCTCTCCAGCAGGAGAACAGAGGGGACAAGGTGGGACCCAGCAAGAAGGGATCTTGAGCATTAAGTTTTCTTTAAACTGATTTAAGATCTTCCAGTGGAAATTGCTTTATAAGCATTACGGATTATTTTGAAAGGGGAGAAAAGTATCTTGCTTGGTGCTTAAAGGAAAATCATCGGAAAAGACAGACCGTTTCTACCGTGTGTCTGCTGAGTCTGGAAATTTCAGCTTCATCTATAACAAAATATTAACTTTGAAAATAAATCTTTTATGTTTGCTGGTCAAGTTTCCTATCGGGGTTAAAGTTGAAGGAACTCATTCCTCTGCACTGACCTTCCTTATGGATAATCTTAGCTAGCAATGAGAGATTTGCTCACTCAAACCCTTCTGAAGTGAATCACAGGAGGCTGAAATGCTTTCTCCTGAGCTGAAGAAGCTCTCTACGAGGATTACCCCAACAAGATCTCCCAGGATAATTAGTTGGGTGCAGCTCACCCAGCTGGTTTTCTCTCTGTGGACTCATTGCACAGGGAGAGCAGCTACACACTTTGCTCAGTCTGCTGGGTGTTTTACTGATAGCAGAGGAACAACAACACTCAGAAACAGCTGGATATTTATAAGAGGTTTGCAAAGGAAACGTGGTCTCATGGCTCCAGCTCATCCCAACCAGCTCCCATCCCTTCTTGTCCACCCTCCCTCCTATTCACATCCGACCCCCAACTGTCCACTCCCTGGCTGTTTTCTCTCTCAGCCTTCCCTGTTGGATTCTTCATCCAGTCTTAGTCTGGGCTTTACCTCCAACTTCTATTTTCTTGCTAGAGCCTCAGCTCATTTTTTTCTCCTTGGTGCAAATGCAAGATTGGCCAAGGATACTCCAACTTTAGCCATGAGACTCTCCGTTTTCCTCATGGTTTCTATTGCACTGCCATCCCCCAGCTGAGCTGGCTCCAGTCTTTTGTCCAATCTACTCTCTTCACCTTTCTTCCCCTCCTGCCAGATTTAGAGATATTCAAGCGGCACACACATTTGAAAGCCTCAAATGAGCCGAGAACTGTTCTGTGGCCTTGGATGGCCATACTCTGCCCCACACCCAGATCATAAGGTGGTAACAACCAAACTATTTGAAGTAGTCTTCAGCCTTTGCTATCCACAGGTTTAGGATTTCTTAGGGACAACGCTGGTTGGCACAGGCAAAGGCCAAGCTGGGGCTAGTACTGCCCCAGGTCTTGTCCTGCTGTGCTTATGAATACAGACCTGCTCTTGGCATCCAGGTTTAAAATAAGGTCATGTCTTGTGCTACCTGAACTTGGTAGGTGCCTCTGTTTTGGGCTGGGAGGGAACCTGACATGTGAAGGAAGGTATAAAAATGTGTGGGCAAAGGGAGCAAAGGCACGTGGTTGAGTCTGCTTCTGCCGTGGAGGCTTTCATGGTCTGGTTATGGCTGTTGCATGGAGAAGTTATGATCAGGATTAGGAAGCCAGGAGTCCCATTCCTAAGGGAGCAGCTCCATCCACGGGCCCCAGCCTGCCTCCCTCTTGTCTGGTTTCTCCCATTGATTTTGCATTCCCTGCTGCCCAGCAACACAACCCATGTATGTGGGCCAAAAAATTGACCCACATCTCAGGTTATGTAAAAGGGTCCTTATCTGGAGGTGGGAGCAGCAATTGCCCTGTGGTACAGGAGGTCCTAAAACCATGAAAGCTCCCTTTAGTGAACCCTCCCTTGGCAACGGGTGTTGTGTAAAAGCAGACTCCTCTCTGCCAGCCTCCCTGAGAAATCCTGATGTGACATCACCCACACAGATGCTGCTGCCTAATTCCACATCCCTCCGCCCGGTGTTTCTTATTTGCTGGCTCCCATGGTTGCATACTCCTTGTGTGAGAGTGGCGAGCTGCCCTGCAGAGACATCTGGGATGCCTGGAGGGGTCTCAGAAAGAAGATGGGCATCTCATCCAAATAGTTGGGATTGCTCCTGGGAGGTAGCTGTCTCTCTCTGCCCAGATTATGGAAGAGCTCAGTTTTCGGCTCTCCAAGTCACTGTGCCGGGACCTGAATCAGCCAAGGGGGCCTTACCCTGCCTAAATTAGGCACCTGGAGGAGGTGGTTTAACTTTGGCCCTTCTTTTCCCTCATTCGGGGCTCTATCCCCACTGATTCTGAAGGACCTATGCTGCCTTCTGCTCTCCTTAAATAATTTGCGTGTCTTTTCCCTCACAACATGAAATTTCTTCCCTTTCACTCTGTTTATTTGCCCAGATCCGATTAACAACCAATGAATCAATGGCAAAGTAAGAGACAAGATGGATGCACAAGATCAAAGCAAGGTCTCCGCTGGGTCTAAAAAGCTTCTGGAAGCCATGGAAAGAGACAAAGGCATCCCTTTTTCAAAATTAACTGCTGCTCTCTTGTCATATAGCCAACTCATGGCTCCATTTTGAGGTCCATTTTAGTTTTCCTGAATCGTTAGTGATGAGATATTACTCTACAGAGGTGATTCAGCTTCCTTGAGTTTTTTGCAGTCTTCCTCAATCTTACTTCTCACTTGATGTCCCTGGCTTGCCAGCTCCAGGCCCTCCTCCAGGCTGAAGGCTGTGATGCTGGGCAGCAGGAGACATCCTCCCCACGCTGGCTGCTTAAGTGTTGCCTCTAACCACGTTGAGTTTCGTAATCTGTCCTCTTGAGCAAGAAGGAATCATCACGACCCAGTCACTGTGCTGCAAAATTACTGCTCTCCAGACCCTGAGAAGAGGGCATGCTCCAGCATTGCAGTATGCCTAGGTACTAACGAAGATGTTTATGTCCTGGGGACAGGTCCCAGATAACCGTTTGACGTAGAAGACCTTGTTTCCTACTCAAATTTCTCTCCTTAGTACATGTTTCCTGGCAGTGCTGGGGATGTTTTAGCCTCACCACTCTCTTTCAAAGCTGACTTGCACTGAGCCAACATGCGCATGAGCATGAAGGTTCATGCAGAAAAAAACGGATGTTGGCAAAGTCAACATGAGGGGGCATATGGCAGTAATTAGAGCACCGTTTCATTCACGGAGGAAGGGAAAAGGCATATATGTAACAGAAGTCTGTGGGATAATTAATAGGACCGAAAAAAGGAAAAAAAATGGTTGCTTCCTTTTACCCTCACTGCAAAATACCAGCAAGAAGACACACCCACTAATTATGAAGAACAACCTGTTCATAATGCACTTAAGCAGTAAACTGAGCTCCCCTCTGCAAAGCAGAAGGCTGGATTTGATCATGTCCCTACCAGCATGTCCCCTGCTGACCTCCCAAACCTCCCAAACCAGGAATGGGGATGTCTATTTTGACATCGGGCTTGAACAACTCTGGAATTCACCACCTGATGATGTCATTCTAGGAGCAATTTAGGAGGGCCGGAAAAAGTATCAGAAACTCACATGGATAAGGAAATCATCCAGTGTTGGAATGATTCATATTAGAAACAGACAAAAGTACCCTACTGATGGCTACTTCTAGGTAACTGCCTCTTAAGTTATTCTGTAATTGCCAGCAAACTGGCAATTTTTTTTTTTTTGCACATTCTGCTACCTGCTGTCCAGGACTAATCTCGGTTTGGAAGAAGCTCCATTGAGGTGGCAGCTTGAGCTCTTACAAGATGCATCTTGTATTAGGGTCTATTTCCCAGAATATCAGAAACAGATTTTAAGAAATTCAGAGGAGAGCAACACAGAGGAATAGAACAAAGGGAATGATTTAAGAGAAGAGATTGAAAAAGAGACAGTTTGAGAGATGGCTTTTTTCAAAGTAGAGCAGAAATTCCAGGATGCCAATTTGTGGTATCGTAAATGATTTCCAGAAACTGTTGGGCGTGGAGAAAAGCGGACCCCCTAAAGGATCCCTGAGATAGGAGCAAAACTTCATTAAATAAAAAGTGTATAAGGTATTTGAGAATTACAACCAAGAGAGGAGCAAGCAGAGGGATTAATTACAGGTAATGGAGAATCGATAAAAGAAATGAAGACTGACATGAAAATTTGAGGAAGGTCTTCTGTTTAACTAACAATTAGCTAATTTCATTTTGTGTAAAATACACTGATTTTATTGGAGGTAAACCAGCATAAGCCAGCTGAGAGTCTGAACTTCTGGTACTGTGGAATAATTACAGAAAATGAATGGTATGAACCTTTGTACATCATGTGCTGACTATGCAAAGGGATTAGAAAAATGCACTGTTAGGACTATCTCCCCGTGCCTCCAGGCTCCGCTATTCCATCAGTGCAGCTGCTGCTTCTGCTGGGAGGAAGAAAAGGAAGAAACTCAGAGGAGAAGAGAGCAGATCCTCATTTCCCATCGCTCATATGACCGGAAGAGCAAGAAATGTGTTGCTAACAGGACTTTTCCCCAAGGTGCCAGCCTATTCCATGGGCTCCAGCATGGAGAACTCCCACATGCACATTACACACCCTTGGGTTGATTTCATGTCCACCCGTGAGCTATTCGGAACCTGTAAAACTGCTGCCGTTCAAAAGGTATATAACCTGTCCTCCAAACATCTTCCCAGTCCAGTGGAGAGGATCTGGTGGAGATGAAGACTAGTCTTGTCACCTTGTTCGCTGCTGTCCTGTGTGTGGAGCAAGGTAAGCCTCTAATGCTGCTACTAGTTAAGGCTTATAGAGAAGAAGGTGGAAACTTTTCGCGTGGCAAATATTTACAGGGCTGTCACCAACTTAGCAGTATTGCATTGCTGCAACCATGCTGCCACCAACTTCCTTTTGCACCTTGATTAACAATTTGCTGCAGAAATAAGATCCTGATAAACTAATTCTTTCCAGCAGCGGTACTGAGTGATAGTGTTCTAATTGTATGGTGCTGGATGCCAGGTTATATCCATGCAGTGATCTATGGGATCGTCCCAAATGATGCAAGCTGGAAGTGCCAGAAAGCGGAACAAAACATTTTTTTTAAATCCATATCATTTTTTGAGTATTTTCCAGACTTTTCTGTACTACCGCCTCCTCCATTGTAGCGAGCCACGTGGTGTGCCATGTGTCTTGCTCCCTAGGAAATGCACCAGGGAGAATTATATAGATTAAATCAGAGGCAGAGGTGAAAGAGCTTTTCTGTGCATGTCATATTAAAGGCATCCTTCTCCCAGAGGGAAGTCTGAGGTACGCTGAGTGTGTTTCCCTCTTCTGGGACAGATACACGTGTGTTGCTACATCGCTACTTGCACGTAGGAATAATGACCATATTGCCAATATTTCCCCCACGCCTGATGGTTTCCCAGAAACCATGATACATATCTAGCAGGAGTTGAGAAAGAAGCATCTAATTAATTCTTGCTCTTTGATGTATCAACCCCCTACTCCTAAATTTTTTTGGACAGACAGCTCTGCAGCATGCCTGGAAGATCAAAAGCTTTGGCCGGTTTTGGAATGGGAAAAGGAGCATTAAATTCTGAAAGAAGAAAGGATTTTGTGCCCATAATTCCTGAATGCAGTGACACAGTATGGACAGAGGAGAGTAATTATCAAAGGCAATATCCTCAGTGTTACCAGGATGGAGTGGAAAGCTAATAGAGATCCAAGTCTCTGGTAGCACACATTCATGTGGGATACCTTATAGCTGTAGTAGGCTGATGACATTTATATTGGCATTAGCTTCCAAATGGGCTTAAGGACAGGCCTTTATATAGCACCTTTCTGTAGCCAGTTCGAGATTGGAGAAAGCTAGTAATTCTAATATCAAGGCTTTCACATTCAAGAGTAAGATATCACAACTTTCTGGCCTAATACAGGGACAAAGGAAATCTTCAAGACAACTGTTATTTGATCCTTCTTATGTATCTGGGGTCCCATTACAGACCTTAGTAAGCAACTTTTGATCAAAACTGTTGATCTCAAAGCCCACCAAAGAGGTTCTGTTGCTATTTGCTTCCATGAACTCACTGTTATATTATGTCCAGCAGAAATCTTAAAAGGTCAAATCTTAAAAGGTCAAATCCTTTGCCCTGCTCTAATGCTGGACCAAACCAGGCAGATGTTTGTCTAATGTGTCCTTGAAAGTCTTCAACAAGAAGATTCTAGAGCCTGGAATTGCTCAGACCCTCACCCCTTTAGAAAGTTAGTCTTAATATCGCTTAACATCTCCTTCTGTATAGTTCTTCTGTGTTTTCACCATCGGATGTGTAGAACAGTTTATTACTTTCTTCTTTGCAGCTTCTTTTTGCTTGCATGAAAGTTACTGTGTCTTTCCTCAGCATTTTCTTATTTTTATTAAACAAACTAAATGCTTCTAACCTTTTCTAAGTGGTCATATTTTCAAGATATCTGACCATTTCTCCTCTCTCTCCTCTGGTATCTCTCCAAATGCTTTGCATATTTTTTGAAGTGCCGCATACAGATTTGGTCATAGGTGTTCCAGCTGAGGCCTTGCCAGAGTGGAAAGGCCACTTTGCATATCTTGCACATGACATTGCCGCCTGTGTTCCCTTGGATGACGTTTGTTTTCATCGCTGTAGTGTGACACTGTTGACTCCTGCTGTTTGCATTGCAGTCCTTAATTGTAACTTAACCAGTTGTTCCTCATCCTACATTTAAGTGGCTGATTTTTATCTTTGTGTAATATATTTCTCTTTATTGAACTGCATCCATTCTTTTTTCATTCTTTTATTATATCCATCTGTCAAAATCACTTAGAACTCTACTTACAGTACGTTTTCAGCTATTTTGTCCTTTGCATCATCTGAAAATGTGATGTGCATCCTCTATCCCATTCCTACTGTCACTAGTGGTGATACTGTATAGACCTGAGCCCACAGCAGAGCTCTAGAGAACCGAAAGAGTTGCACTGCTCCAGTTGGTTTGACCAATTACCATTGCGAACTACCCTGTAAGTGTGTTTTCATGTCTGGCTTTGCACCCATTCTGTTGCATTTTCACTAGCTTGTGTTTCCTGGGGTTGCTCATAACAATGTCATTCAAGATTGTGCCAAAAATTTTCGTAAAACCTTATTGCATCGCCTCTACCCTGTTCATGAAGATTCAACTTTTTTAGTAATGAACAAAGCAAAAAAGCTACACAGTGTTATGGCCCTCTCAGCATCAACTGTGGATAACTTTTTCCTTCCCTTCCATCGGGAACTTCTCATTTAGTGGTCTCTCTGACCTACATTGCCCTTCCAGCTTCTTACTGCCAACTTCTTATCAGGCAAAACTGCACTCACAGGAACGTGTCCTCTAGTTGCTTTCTGCCCTTTCCATACTGACAGACTGTCCCCAGACTTACCAGGAACTTAGCAAGCGTTCTGCACTGTGTTTGCTTCCCTTCCCCAAAATGTCTGTGTTTTTAAAGTAACTCATCCCCTCTCCTACACACAAAGCCATGTACTTTGCCCTGGGTGATTTTGCAAGCTCAGAACCCAACCACCACCATAAAACCTATAAACCAATTAATCTGCCTAGCTGGGGAGTGTTCTGCAGAACACTTTGGTGTGGTTTCTCATCCAGACTGGTTTTGCTCTTCTTCCTTTTTATCATTACTTTACAGAGGCTTTCCAGAGGTCTGTCCTACCACCTTCTGCATTTAAGGTCAAGTGTGTACATTCTTGACAGATACACATCATCGCTGCCTGCCCTTCCTGCCAGTCATCTTCTGTATCTGTATTGCAGATGTATGAATTATCCTACCAAATTTGCACTTACTAGTTAAACCATACTTTTGGTTAAGACGTCCCATTTGTTCTCTATCTTACAGTAGTATGCAGAAGTTCGACAGAGCATCTGACTACTCTCACCAGACTTCCTAGGACTGAGGTTAGGCCAGTTCAGTTAGTGACATTTGACCACAAGAAAGGGTATGTGACAGTAGTCTCCGAGCCAGATGAAAGAGAAATAGGACACTGGGCATTGTCCACCTCCTCAAAATGCTCCAGGCATCCTCAAGTTCTCCCTGGCAAGCCCTGCCTAGGCTGGCCCAGGAGAAGCAACTGAGCAGTAATTGGCAATTCATGTGGCAGGGCTCTCAGGACAGAGAAGCTATTGCTCAGCAATAATCTCCACCATAAAAGACCCCAAATCCTTGAATTCCACTCACATCTACTGCTGCCAGAGATTGCAAACAGATCAATAGCACTTCACAGTCTGAGACATATGAGACAGAGAGGGATTTAGCATTGCTGCCATGGGTCAAGGGATAAAGAAAGTCACTGGTCATTCGCACACAAGCATTCATCAGGCTATAACTAGCAAAATGGAGATATCTGGATTGTAGGTATTGTGGTTCCTAAATCATGTAATGTGCTTTTTCTTTTTTTTTCTTCCCCCTAGCTTACCCATTTATCTGCTATGTGTGCCAAGAACAGGAGTCCAACAAGAACTGTTTGACCATTTCCATGTGTGCAAAGGAAGACAAATACTGCGTGACTGTCCGTAACAACGTTGGAACAAGTATGTTTCTGAACAACACCTTGTTTGTGCTATAGAAGAGCAGTCCCAGGAATGGGCTTTCATCCCAGTCACGGCCACATATGGAAGCAATAGCCCCCGAACACTAACTGTTAGGAAACACCGACCTTGTTGCTTGCTATTGCAGTCACTGCAGTGTCTATACATACTTGATATTGTTGGGGAAATGCTGAAGACACATATAGCAGCACCAGAGAGTGAACTCAAGCCTGGGGCTGTGTGCACGGCTTCACAGTTAGCTCCCACCAGCTTTCTGCTGACCGCGCCAGCCAGCTCTTGTTATGGCGATATTCACTCCCAGGGTTGTTTTCAAAAATGTTTCGGCAAAACTGCACCACAGCTGATTCTCTCTGCCATGCACAATCCTTCGGGTCTGTCCTTGGGGCTCGGCACCCTCGAACACCTCCACGTCCTCTCAGACCAAGTCTCAGATCATATAATACATTCCCCCTGGTTTTATGTCGTAGGAAAGCTGTCCTGGTGGGCAGTGACCCAGCCTGAGCATCGCTTCAGGCAGCTTGAACTGAAAGCCACCCATACATCCCCATAATTCCAGTTTAGGGACAGATGAAACATGGACCCCAGAGAAGACCAGCCTCATGTTGCAGCAGTGTGGACGGGGCCAGACTGTTGCTAGTCCTGAGCAGAGGACATATTTGCCTTGGGGACTAGTGCCTGGCCTTCTTTTATTCACCAATGCAGATTTAGCCATGGAAACATTTCAACAGTGATTCTTACATTCTACTCTTTCTTTTTTTTCTTCCTTCTCTTCTGCCTTAGAGCCCAACAAGCCTAAATATGTCATCTCTAAGATGTGTTCTCCAACGTGTCCAGCAACAAGTCAGCAACAAAACCAAACCTATCAGACGGTTTCTTGCTGTGAGAAACCATTATGCAATGTGAATGGAGTCAGCAGCAAGGAAAGCAGCTATGGAGCGATGTCCCTGGGTGTCCTAGCCAGTATCACTTACATCTTTGCATGTGGACTGTGATGGGTTAGGAAAAGCTCCCCGTGATGGCATTGTTGGCCGAAATAAAATTGTGTTGCTCTGGGATAATTACTGCTCTCAAAGAGTCATGCTTTGCAGCTGAGCTTCCCCTGGGATTTTCAAGAGAGTCTAATTAGGTGGTGAACTACCATTGATTTTCTAAGCCTACTTGAATCCTAAGCGTCCCCAGCCATTCAAGTCACCTAAGAAAACACATAAAAGGCAGCCCTTTTGACATGTTCGGGCTTCAAATTGTTACAGCTCTGAAGAGATCCTTGAAGACATATTTTTGTCTCTTTGAGTTTCAAAGCGCTGTGAGGAATAACAACCCACCCTGCCTGAAACACAGGTAATAGCTCAATAGTTATGTCAGCACAGAGCAGATGTTCAGTATCTTCTGTTCACACTAAGTTGGTTATCACACATCAGTCAAGCAGTTCATAAACAAGTAAGGAGAGGTAAAGCTTCTTTCTGGCAGTATTTTGGACATTCCTCCAGCCTCAGTGGGGAATAATTTCTGGCTCCTCTGGCTCTTTGCTCTCGTAGGGTTATCGCATTTTGAAACGAGCATCCTTTATCCCCCAGCTCCAACGTGTTGGCTGAGCTTGGGGAAAAGGGAGAGAGGAGCAAACATGGCTGAGAGAGGACAAGCAGCAGCAGGGCACGAGCGGGGAGATGGGAGGGAGAAGGGAAGGGGGGGCCAGCATGGTAAGCACTGCGCTGGGAATTGCCCGCACACTGCCTCCTCATGGACCTCCTCCAGCTGGAAAAGAAGATGTCCCCATATCTATTTCCCTCTTTTTTTTTTGCAGGGCCAAACCAACCTGACAGCTGTTGCCAACCCCAGTCATTTAGAGATTGTGAGATGTTTTCTACAAAACCATGTTCCTGGCGTAGAAACGATTGATTGTGCTGTGCTTTGTTTAGTTTTGCACTCCAGGATCTCTGCTCCCTCCTCTCCCTCCAAGAGCTGCAGCTGAGGGGAGACAGAAAAGCTTTGTAGGAGCCCTGGGGGTGTCTACAGAGCAGAAGAAGGGCAGGCAGCCAGAGGCTAACACAAACAGCCCAGAGCTTCTTGGTCATACCCCTGCTGCAAGCTCACTTTTTCTGGAAAACAAAAAAAAAAACCCCAAAAAGGAAGAGTTGGCAGCATCACTAGCTCAGCTGTGTTCTGGGGAAAACTAGAGATCATCCAAACAATTCAAGGGTGGTTTTCTTTTTTGGATGAGATGTTGTATTTGATGGCTAAATGAGATCTTTGGTTTGTCTGAAGCATTGCCTTCGAAATCTGCTGTGTTTTTGTTGCACGTGTGGAAGGATGTGCATTTTTGAGATGTTTCACACTGCCTGGATTACAAAGCAACCGATTTCTCAAGAGGACGATCAGCCAAAGATGCCCCATCAACTTCATGTTTTGTACTGTGAACTCTGAAGCCTGGTGCCTGGTTTTAAACATTTTGATTAATGGACAGGAGGGAAAGAAAGCAAATGAAGGAGGTGACACCACAGTGCTGGGCAGGGACAAGATGCTGATGCCCATTGATCTGAGCATACTGGTGAGCCGTGCCTGGGGATGACAGATGTCAAGAGGGCCAAACGTGAACTTGCCAGCAGAACATGCTATTAATTTTCTCTCACCAAAGACAACCACAAAAGGGAAGGAAAGCTATGATGGAGAAGGGGAAGGGAAAGACTTTTTAAAACAAAAGGAAGGAAGAGATGTCCAGCTGCTAAGCGCACAGGCTGGCAGCACTGGTAGGGGCTGTGGTAGCCATGCTGCATCCCGATTCCATGAGCACATGCTCCACAAATACCCCACATAGACAGAAGACACTTCTTCCCCCCAATACATCGAGTGCTTTCAAAAAACTCCAGGAAAGTTGGGCTCTGGGCCAAAGCCATTACTGTCTTTACCGCCAGGCAAGTTGGCACAGGAAAGGGGAAGCAGAAGGAGCAATTTATATCTCAACCAGTTTCACTGGACGTGAGAAGGCAAAGACCTGGTGGGTGAGACCAGCTGGCGGGGAGGAAACGAGTCAAGGGTTGAGACAAGTCCACTGAGGCTGGTGGCATGTGGCGGGCCAGGATGGGCAGAGTGAAGGATGGAGAGCAAACCTCATCCAGATCGTTTTTTAGAGCCATAGAGTGGGACTTGCTGCAGGGTCTGGAGGGAGAGGTGGTCCACTCAGAGCCCAGCTGAGCCCAGCAATCACTGCTGAGGACTCCCTTTTGTGGCCTTCCACTTCTGCACTGGGATCCCTGGTGATCGGACACTCTTTAAAAAAGCTGCTTGGTTCTGCTTATGGGGACTTTCTCCTGCTGGCAGAATTCTGTATGTGCCCCCTTGAAGGCCTTTATTGCCTTCCTAGCTCTTCCTCTTCTCTTCACCATGCCAGTTTAAGTGCTGCCTGCTGATAGCACCCAAATGGATGTTGCCTCCAACAAGATAAAATGGACAGAGGTCTTCCTAGGTCACCTTGTCTACAAATTTAGAGGAACCTCTTCTTTTCTTGAAATTTCTGGATGCCAGAGCACCTGACTGTACCAGGATTACGCTGATTGATCCCTTGCAGGTGAAGTGCCTTAAGGTTTTCACTGTGTTTAAATGTATTTACTGGTTACATTGCCAGTCATACCAGCACCCACCTGGTTCCTGGACTGAAAGCCCACAGTCGTGAATGAGGAGCTGAAGGTCTCTGAAAAGTGAGTATGGGGGTAGGATTTATGAATGGACTTTGTCAGAGCTGATGCTGTGAGTGGGAAATGACTGAAACTCTTTCAAATAAACAAGGAAGAGGGACACTTAAAAGCTGTCCTTCTTGGTTGGGGGTGAGAAATGGGGTACATGTTGGTCTGGCTAAACAAGGTCACAGCTCCCTTTCCACACTGGTACCTGCCTTTCCTGGGCTGGAGGAAGGTGCAGGCAGAAGATCAGGGCTCCTGTGGCCCAGGAGTTTAGGCACAGACAGCCTAGTCTCCTCTTTCTCCATGGAAAGAATCAGTCACATTTGCCTTTTCAAATGTGTGTGGTTGGTTGGTGGTGCTCTCCAGGCTTAGCTGTGCTTGCTGGGAGAAGACATCCAGGTGATGCTTGGAGGTGCCTCTTCAGTGTAGAATTTGTTTTGCAATCTCACAACAACTTTGAGTTGCACACTCAGAGTCAAGAGATGTGTTTTTGCTTCCAGCCTGCAGTACATGTAGAGTAAAAGGGAAGACAGGTGTGGAGACAATAACCACATCTAACACGAGAGTAACAGAGACATATTGCTGCCGCAGATGTTCGTGAGATTAACACGGATTAGCCAACTAACACATCAAAAGCAAGAATATTAAAATGAAGCAGGGCACAGGTCTAAGCAAATAAAAGGTGGTGGTTTCAATATGAATATGCACATCAGTGAGGGACATCAGCCAAACTAAGTGGTGTTCAGGCACAGAGGTATTGGGAAAAGAAATCTCTGGCATCCATCACAGCTACCAAACCCAGCCTGTTTCACCTGCTCCTGTTTCTTCACAATAGGGAAATCTTGGTCTTTCAGAAGACTGGATACCACCAAATGTAGCATCCATCATTATAAAGGGGATGGGGGACACTCTGGGGACATACAGAGCAGTCATCCCAGACCCCAGTCTTGGAAAAAAACCCTCTGAAATAAATCATCAAACAATTTGCAATGGTGTAGGGGCTGTCAAGGAGATGGGGATGAACAGCAAGAGCTTTGTGACAGATGGGTGTTATTCCCACCTGTGACAAGATGGCAAAATCTGTAGTTAGGGTAAAAGTGGTACCTGTCACATAGCTGAGTATTAATAAAGCTTTTGGCACCGTATCACATGACAGTCTCATAAGCAAAACTAAGAAAACACAGTCTAGCTAAAATCATGAGCAAATAACTGTCAACAGTTTGCTGTCAAACTGGAATGATCTATTAAACAGGGTCCTCTGTGGCTTGTCTTGGCTCTGGTATGATGCAATGTTTTAATTACCGGTTTGAATGATGGATTAGAGAATAAGTTCATTGAGCTTGCAGGTGACAAACTGAGAGAATCTGCAAATAGGAGAATTCTGTGTGACTCTGCTAAATCTAAGCGACAGTCTGAGAAAGAGGATATAATTTAGGAAGGACAAGCACGAAGCTCTACAGTTAGTGTGGACCTGTCATCTGCACAAATACAGGATGATTCCTTGCAGCAATCTGGCAGAAAAAGAAGTTGTGGTGGGTGTTATAACACATCACAAGTTTAACATGTGTCAAACTTAGGGAAAAAATTATGAAAAAGAAGGCGGCCTTGTTGGAACTCTGCAATCCATTGAAAAGTCTTACACTGGGAAGAGTAAAATGGTGTGTGATGGGATAAGATCCTTCCAGTCTTTTCTCCAAAGGAAAGGCCTGGGCTGCTTCATTCTCCCCACTTTTTGCTTTAGGGTTCACACAGCAGCAAAGGAGCTTTTAGATAGGATCAGAAAGGTTTCCTAGCATCTAATGTATAGCGAAGAGCTGGAGAACTGCCTCCAGCATCAGCAGCTTGAGCATCTTTATCGAGATACATCAAAGCATGACAGAAAAATACTGTCCTCAGCATCCACTGGGGCTGGAGAATGAACTCAGCTGTCTCTCCTGATTCTCTCCATCTCCTTTCTGTCATTCCCATGTACCCTTTGTGGGTGCTGGTTCCCTTCACTAGAGCAGAATTGTGGTGTTCAGGCTTGACTTTGCTTTATCATAGAATCAAAGAATGGTTTGGGTTGGAAGGGTCCTTAAAGATCACCTAGTTCCACCCCCCCGCCATGGGCAGAGACACCTTCCACTAGACCAGATTGCTCAAAGCCAAATATACAGCAATGTCTAGCAGCAAAGGCGACCCAGAGTTGCTCTTCCACTGCCACCATGTAGGAACTTTACTCCAAAGGATATTCAACCCCCAGAACACCTTCAGGGTTCCCAGGATCTCAGTCAACAGTAAAAGCAATAGATGTGCTGAGCCAGTGAGTGGAGAGACAG